GGCTAGTCTTGTTAGTCTAGACCAGGGGTCTCCAAACTTTTCAGTCCGAGGGCCGCATTAACTATCAAATTTCAGTTCGGGGGCCAGTTTCTTCCAGGCATGTCTTTGATTTTTCTAGGCAAAGTTCCTCAGCCATCACCAACAAACGTTTTTTCCGTGGACAAAAAGATCTCCGCGGGCCGGATGAGAGGACCTCGCGGGCCGCATTCGGCCCGCGGGCCGTAGTTTGGAGACCCCTGGTCTAGACCAAGGACTATAAATTCTACAATTGATAACTTTCGGCCTTTTAGTATAAGCCTAATTATTAATGAATTACATGGTACAAAAATTAATAAATTGGTCAGAGTCAGTACAGTTAGCTGTTAATAGAATTAAGTTTTAGAACTATTGACCACAATTTTTAGTTACAAGTAATGAAAATGAAACTAATAGTTTTGTAATAGTAAAGATATGGTTAACTGTAATCAGAAATTTTAGTTTTTAAGACAAGCTAAGTAGATAGAAAACTGAACCTTTACAATAAATGAAACATATATATATATATATATATATATATATATATATATATATATATATATATATATATATATATATATATATATATATATATATATATATATATATATATATATATATATATATATATATATATATATATATATGTATATTAATATCACATATTAGTAATATTAGTTAAATAATTATTTTAATATAATATATGGATAAACTTAATAATTTATTATATTTAAATTCTCTAGGTACTTGGCAAGCAATTTTCTCACACTTTACTGTGGCTATTGGTGCTGATCTTGAACTAAAGGTGAGCTGAATTTTTTTATAATAAGCCATTTTTCAGCTTAAGCCCAAGTTTGAAACAGATTCAGTGTTTTAATTCTTAAAGAATATGTTGCAACTAAGATTATTTACTGTAAGTATTAATATGTATGGCTTGATAGTGGGACTGTCAGACAGTAGCTTTCACATTTCTATCCTAAAAGATAAGAGTTCAGATCCCTGGCTTTAGTCCTGGTATGATGTCCTAAGTCTCATGAGTACCTGGCTCAAGATAGGGAAATTAAAGGTGGCTGTGTATATACCTCTGAACACTCTAATTTTACATGCAAATGTCACAGAAACAGGTGAATTTTAATTCATCTGCTATATTGGCTGTATGTTTTAATCAATGATTAATTTTTTCATATTACGGAAAGTTGTTAAAAATATTATTTATTTAATTTCTAGGTAAATGGAACAGCATGGATATGGATTTTTAGACACAAGGAAACTGAATTTAACTTTTAATGAAGAATTTAAATGATGATTGTCCATGAAAACAAATATTAATCGTATACATTGTAATGCTGTATTGATGCATCTTCTGTTTTAAGTAATTAAAAAACCATCCATTTATGAAATTCTTTTCATTTTTTTTTTCAATTTTAAAACTGTAGTTCTGTTTTGTTATTTGAAAACAATGATGAAAGTATACTGAACTGCCATTGAGATATTTATATAAATGCTATTGTTTATAGTTTAATTCTTTCAGAAGCAACTATATTGACATCAAAACTGAATCTTCATTGTACATTAAGTATAAAAGCTTACCCATAAACCAGTCCATGTCAATAATTTATTGACATCCAAACATGAAATTTTTTTAAAGGTGATTTTTCTTAAATAAAACAGACTACTTTCATATGGGATAAGAAACATTTAATTTTGAAATTGATTGGTTTATTAAATTTTAATGGAGCTGAAACTAAAACACTGGGTACAAATTTATTATTACTTTGTTTCTGAGAAAATTGCAAATTTTGAACCTAAGAACATTGGGAAGTAGGCAATGATGTTAAAATATCTCTTGAAACTTGAAGAAATTGTGGAAGGTTTAGAGATAGAAAACAACATTTCAGAAGATGATGTTTGAAATAATGGTAAAATATCTTTAGCTATTGTCACTGAATAAATATTTTCATTAGACAAATCACATTTAGGTATAGATAGAAGAATAAGGTACGTCTTCAGATTTTCTTATCAGCGAAGATCCTGGGTGATTCTCTTTGTTACCATCGGTCAAAGGACAAGCCAATTCTGGAAAATTCATTGGGTTCTTTACCTGGGCAGCTAAATATATTTAAATTAAGTTCATGCAAGGCTTTAGAAACATCAATTGGATAAAACTCTATAATTTCATTAACTTTTTATTACTATCAGCTCCAAAGGAATAATATAAATAAGTTACACATCATCAATAAATTAAATTTGCAGATATTTCCATTTCACCAAACTTTCTCTAAGTCATAATACATATTTTTAATTCATTGCATTTTGTTAGGCTAGATATGTTGACTTTCATTTACCACAATAATCTGATTATATAAATTAACATTGCATACTTTCTTCTTTTTACTGCCCTCCTTTATTGAGGGGGAGATAAAAATCATCATATGATGTGAGACGCAATTTACAGATGAACCCTCTCTCTCCCCCTCCCCCTATATTTATGTATATCTATATAATCTCTAAAATCATGTTGGTACCTCTACCTGTTTGAATGTTAGGCCCCTTTCCTTCAACTGTTTCTGTGTGGATCTTCTCCATGGGGGTCATCCATAAATGACGTCACACTTTTTTGACGATTTTTACCTCCTCCCCTCTGTCCCACATCGTCACAAAAAGCCAGACCCCCCCCCTAAAATGACGTCACACATTACTAGATTCTAGATCTAAAATACTACAGTTGCCTACACTCTAGATTTAGTTCTTACGTTCTACAACAAGACCACACTAAACTACACTAGATCTAGAATAATCTAGATTCTATATATAAATTGATATTGAACATATTCTAGTCTACCTGTCTTAAAGTAAATAGCCTATTTATTAGGCCTAATTTTTGTAATTTAGTAATTAATTCCACTCAACTACACTTTAAAATAAAAGAAACTAGATCTAGAATCTAGATCTCTAGACTACTATTGAGTCTATAAATTAAAAATAAATCCTGTATGTCGTATGTTACTGTCGGAATTTTCAAGAGGGCTTTTTTTTAAGTCATAGATCTAGATCTAGAGAATCTAGTATCTGTATTTAGAACTCTAGATCTAGAAATCTAGATCTAGGCTATATATATATATATATATATATATATATATATATATATATATATATATATATATATATATATATATATATATATATAATTTAGGCTTGATTTCAGATTGACGATTGAAATCTTTTAGGCCTATAGATCTCATATTTTATATAAATGTATTATTATTAAACAGGGTGTATTCTAGTCTACCTGTCTTAAAGTAAATAGCCTATTTATTAGGCCTAATTTAATTAGGCCTAATATAAATATAATATATTTGTGTGTGTGTTATTTTAAACTTAATTTACTTAAAACAACTCATTGTCGGAGTTTGCTTTTATTCCAAAAGCGAAAGTAGATTTCATAACTTAAAAAAAAAATTTAATAAAAAATATTCACATTTGGTTTGAAAAACAACAAAATCGCTAGCTGGCAACTACCGGAGCGAGAACTTGGTAAGCTACTTTAACAACTTACAAGCCCAATAGACACTTATAGTGGAATAGTATTATCATACGCCGCAGGGGCGGAACTACAGTGCCGCCAGACCCCGCAATGCGGGGGGGCCCACGACATTTAGGGGCCCACGGCCGACCATAAAAAAAATTGTTATAGTTAAAAAAAATGTTCTTGCATTTTTGGCTAAAAGTTCGTTTTGTAAAAAAGATTACCGTAGCTGCGGTTGGATTATCTTTATTCTATAGACACCACCCAACGCAAAATTTTTCCTTCGTTTTTAAACCACTGTGAAAGCCGAGTCATCTTTCTCCTACAATGAAACTTATCAAAGATAAGCAAACGTTCAAACCACTTCCATGACTTATTTCCCTTTTTTAAATAGTCAAATAGTGATGCTCATAAGCCTCTTTTTAATAGATTTGTACTAAACAAATTAAAAAGCAATTACTTCTCTTTATTATTATTTGTTTATAAATTACTTACTAAAGAATGACACTGTATAAAAAGAAAATGTATTTAAAATTAATAAAATAAATACAAAAAACCTTAAAAATAAACATGACATGAGACACCATTATTTACAGAAAGCTTTCATGTTTTATATTCTTTTGACCGATGGGAGGTTAAATACCTTACGGCAAAGATAATATATAACTGATTTTCACAAAACAGACTAATGCACTTACACTAATGAATGTTATTTGTTTTATTAAAAAAAATACCCACGTATTTCTCATAACACGAACAGGCCAACATGAATAAGTATCCTGTGTTCGTATGTTGTGTTTGAGTATATATATATATATATATATATATATATATATATATATATATATATATATATATATATATATATATATATATATATATACATATATCTACATATATAGGTCTATATATTTATATGGGGGGGGGCCTAAAAAATTTTTTTGCGGGGTGGCCCCTTTTTTCTAGTTCCGCCACTGATACGCCGGGCAATGTGTGTTACTTCAGAAAGAAAATACAGATTAAAAAAAAATGTATTGTTACACTTTATTGTAGTTTTTCTTTAGTAGTTTAGTTAATATGTGAATAAAAGATTAATTTTGTGTCAATGTTTTATATACTAATATAAAAGATATTATTTTTAAAATACGTATTACACTTTATCAATTGATTGTACAATTGATCGACTAATGCAACAAAAATTGTACTATTATGCATTACCAACAAGTAGTTTGTTTTCATGAATAGAGAAGTTTAATTATTGCTGTCATTTATATTATTCATTTGCCATTATTTCTGATAGCAACAAAATAGAATAAATTTCCATCAGAATGAATCGATTGAATAATCAGTCGCTATATATAAGAGGGGATATCTATAATGAACTTATTTACGTTAAGAAACAATTATGTAATATGGTAACATGAGCTTAGCTTTTGTACAATATATAGGCTATAAACATGAGAAATCAATTGTAGATTTTATCTTGAATGAATTTATAGTATACGTTTATCTTGAATGAATTTATATTATACATTCCAATGCTATTATTTGCTAGATTATTCTCATTTATTGACGTGAAGCATACTTTCAAGCTATTTACTGTAAATATGTAATGTAGATTTTAAATTATTTTTACTGACCGTTGCATACTGTAGCAAAATTGCAACATTCTGTTTTTTTTTGCAAAATAAACATTATTTGATAAAATAATTCAATTTCATTATTATTTATGCTCTCTACACACCACAGGTCACCTTGTAAGATTTTTTGTTCTCAAATAGCTTTTCACAAAATTAATTCATGAAATGAAGGGTTAACTAAAATAAAACTATAACCAATTACTAGATTGTTTCTTTATAGAAGATGACACATACAATGTTATCAGGAAGGTTGAAATGTCTAGCCAATTCTGGTTTTTTAACACACAATTGATTTTTTTCAACAACGTGAGTCACAGGTTCTTGATGGCCCTCTATTACATCTTCTACATTCATGCACATTGGTCCAGCGACATAATGATACGCGGGAAAATTGTCAGGCATAAGTCCTTCATAGCCGTTCCGGCAGTATTTCACTGTTGTACCCCAACAATCCATGTCTCGAAACAGGATAAGTCCAGAGAATTGTTGGAGGGTCACTTCATTAATGCAGTACACAATGACAGCAGGTCGCTTGGATTTGTGTATGGCTCTTTCTTTTGCATGATTATAAACATACGATAAATAGAATCCATCACCATGGGAGAAATCCTGGAATTGGCGACCTCTTCCTAAGCGAATTCCCTTAGTTAGAATAGACTTGGCGCAGTCATGAGAAGTGCCGTGATACAATTTGATGTTTTCATTAGGTATGCTGTTACTAATTTGTTTTAGAAAATCTGATTGAACTTTCTTGTTGCTAATATCTGAAACATTCATAACTTTTATACAACGCTCTGATACAGTGTGCCCATCGTTCATCTCAACAGTTTGGTCAAACAACGCATCTATTACTGTACAGTTGTAAGGAAATCCACTGGCCACAGTTAACACGGGATGACATTGGAACATGTCTAATATATGTGATGTAGCCAGGTCTAAAGCTGTCTGGTGGTTGATCCAATCTTCAGAAATGTTGTCTGCTATGGATGCAGCCTTCCATGAGGTAAAACCAAGAAAAATCAGTTTGTACCTCAGTGTACTGCTAGCTTCAGTCTGAGACAAGGGTTCCCTGTCACTGTTACGGTCAGCTTGAGGCAGAGATTCCCCTTCACCATTACGTTTCAACCAATTCACAACTTGGCTTTGCTGTAGGTCATGTAGCCACATGTCCACACTCACTTGTTTAGCAAATTGTGAAAATTTTGTTTGAAGCCCCAATACACTACACAATATATCTACATCGTACACCACAAGAGTTTTACTCAATGCCAGTTTGGAAAGCTGTTGGTTATCAAAACTGAAGTTCATGTTATTTATAGTAGTTTGTAGCTCATCAATTTGGATGTCTATTTCCTTCCGACATGCAGAGAAAGACCATGGCATGAGAGCTTGGAACAAGGAGATAGCCTTGGAAATGGTCTCTACGGCTTGATAGAATTGTTTCAACTCAGTGGAGATCTGTCAACAGGATAAAAGAGAAAATTACGTGATAAGGTATGTTTGTTTAATTGTGAAATTATCTGTAATTAGAAAATAAACATTCAGACATATAATATAAGCAATGTTGCGAAGACATTGTATTAATTTCAAATAAGAACTAACTTTTTCAGATTTAAAGAAGAGGTTCTAAAAGCACAAAATAATTTGAATAATTTGTATAAATGCAATATTGAAGATTTCCAAAGGAAATTTCTGATGCTGCAACAACGTATAGCTCGCCAGGGTGGATATAAACTTTTAGTTATCAGCATTAACATGAAATAGTTTACATGAAAATCTCATTACTATTATCATACATTATTTGTACATTTTTAAAGTTAATATGCCAGTATGTACGCCAGCAGATCAAAATATTCCCGATATCGTTCTTTTGAAAAAGAGTGGGGAGGGGGAGCAATAAAAACAGCTGCATTTTGAGGAAGGCGGGTGAAAAATAAGCGTTTGGGATAGAAGCTTCAAGAAGGAAATTCTGTCTTCCTAGATTAAAATCTGAATAGGCCACGCACGTTTCTGTTAAAATTATAGTCTTGTTTCACAAATTTAGTAACATTATTTACAAAGTAATAATTACCGATTTCATTTTTTCTGCAAAACGACGGTAACAAACACATGTTTGGATGATAATTTAAGATAATTTCCAAGAAACAGAAAAAAATATTCCACTTTAGCCTGTCTCTTAAAATGTCTAGGCAGTCCCACAGAATAGTTCTATAGTTTCCATTTGGCTTTGTGCTGTGTCCTCCCTTTTCCTTACACGTTTTTTCGGTGAACGGAAAGTCACAGTGGAAAAAAGTAAAAGTTTTTGCTTGAAAAAAGTCACAAAAAGTCACATTATCGAATAAAAGTCACAAAAATAAAGTTAAAGAAAAAGTCACAAAAATCTTTAAAAAAAAATATTTTGAGAATCGTAAAATTTTTGGTGTTTATTGTTGTGGGTTTTTTATAGCATATATGTCAACTTTAAAAGCATTATGGTTTATGACAATAATAAGTAAAAGTACTTTAAGATAACTTAGACGTCATCAACCTCAACTTTGTTAATAAGTGGTTGAAAAATTAATTACAAAACAAATGTTCGCACATCATTGTCTTTTGCATATTTGTTTTTGCCATAGGCATTTCATTGATCGGTTTCTCCTTTGTCGGCTTGTCCGTCCATATTGTGTGGTGTTAACGTTTTGCGTCAAAGCCAGCCTTTGTACCTTGTCGGCTTTCTGATTTGATCCTATGCTTTGTTACGCAATGTGAGTGATGAATGTGGTGAGAAAAGGTGGTTGAACTATTGTTGTAGTGAGTTGAGGACAGTAAATCCTATTAATAACGTCTTTATTCCATTTCACGCTAATTTAAAAACACTTTTATTAGATTCTATTAAATATTATACGTATAGCGAATCAAAGCCTACACACTTCATACTTAATATTTTTACGTGTTATAAATATCAATATACAACCAACGTACAATACATTTCATATTTATTGATCTAAGTTTATTTGCATTTTCTGGATATTTAATATGTAAATGTGTTTACAAATTATATGTAAATACACATTTGTGACTTTTCCCCTGTGACTTTTTTCCTTTGACTTTTCCTATGTCTTTTTTTCTATGTTTTTAAAAGCTTTTATTTAAGTTACTTTGTCTGTCTGTCGTCTGTCTGTTTAGGTCGAAACACTCAAGCGAAATTTGGGGCACGTCTAACTGGCAGATTCGTTTCAAAGTTGGCACGTGGGTCAAGACATGAAGACAATGCAATCTGATATTAAAGTTGACTAAATGGGATGCCTAATTAGTTTTTTATGAATTAATAAATAATTGTGTCCAAATTCGTAGGCTGTCATATCCAACTATTCCGCACTTTTATACGCGTGTTATCACGTTCATTAGGTGCGCAAATGGTTTTTTTTGTCATGTAATTGTATTGCAAATTTTTAAAAAATTGTTAAAGTACTGAAACTTTTTTTATAAAAACGTTTTAATAAAAACCCTGTATGTAATAATGCACTAAAAAGTAGAAAATAAATTATTTTCTTTAAATGTGTATAATAATACACTACTATTTCAATAATTTGTTATTTTTTCGTAGATACTTCCGTGGAGTATTCTTAACAACTTCTCAAAGTTTCATGGCGATCGAATGAAAGGTATAGTAATGCATAAAACCTTTTTATATACATATATTAGTATTTTGTTTAAAAGTGATTAGTTGGTCATCATTTAGGAAAATTGGAGTACGCCAGGTTTTTTTAAAAAAGATAATTACCTTCTCTAATTGCAAAGGCTCCTTGAGTACCTCCAGTAGATTGTTACTGTAACTTAAAACAACACTGGTGAAGACAAGAGCATCCTTAAATTGTTCATGACTTGAATGTTTGCTTAAAACAAGGTCAATGTCTGGACCTTCTTGGTTAACATTTTGAAGGTACCTCGTAACGTGACTTAGTTTGATCATTTCAAACCATTCTTGTCGATTGTTCCTGTTTTTGTGAAAGTATTCTAAGACGAGGTTCCGATTCGTTATGGTGATAAGCTTTGACCAGTATTGTTTTAATAGATACATAAATATTTGAAAGTAGGTTGTTGTAGTACCATAAGTTTCAACCACTTCAGAAGTTATCTAAAAATAAAATATTATAGCATATTGTTATTAAAAAGAAATAAATAATAATTGTAACACATAACATGGTTACCAGTAAATGGGAATAATTTGTTATTTATTTGGTTGTGGCCCCGTTGAAGTATTTTTATGCCCTTCTTTGAGCGATGTTCGTCTCCGTTTTCTATGTCATGTGACCTCTGGGACTCTTGTTAATCGCACCAGTGTCAGCGGCATTCAAACCCACAGGCTGCTATTGACATGGACGGTGCAGTTTTTTAGGTTAAAGTTACAATGTTGACCTAATGAAGTTAATGTACATTATGTTTTATATTACTCTATGTTGCAAACTAGGTATAAAAAGTATCTTATTCATATTACTTGTGTGTATTATTCCTGCTAGTGCTGCATATTGCGGACTAGTTAGGTTAAGTATTTATAAGTGAAATACTTATTTGTACTTGTTGGCTGGTACTGGTACTGGTCGTAACCTATTTTATGACAACCGTGTATTTATATAGGCTACACGAGGCCGTATTTTCAGAAATGTAATTTATTGCTGTTGACATTTGTTATAGTGATACATACAGTGCCGGCGCCAGGTTATTTAGCGCCCTAAGCAAAACCTAATAAAACAATAAAACGCCCCCCCCCCCATCAAATTGTCTATCCCCAAAATTCTCTCTCTCTCTCTCTCTCTCTCTCTCTCTCTCTCTCTCTCTCTCTCTATATATATATATATATATATATATATATATATATATATATATATATAGACTTGAAATTTTGAATTTGAGAGTAAACGAAACATACAAGCCCTATTATCACCAAATCAACATTAAATTAGATAAACATTGAAAGATTTAGTGTAAATACAATAATTATCTCATTATATTAACAGAGGCGTGGCTAGGGGAAGGCGGATGGGGCGGCCGCCTTAGGCACCGACCCAAAGGGGGCACCTAACATGGTAGATAATAATATAAAACGGTCATTACTGAATTGTCTCATACTTAAACCCATTTATTTTAATTGCATTTACCTTATCCTAACCAAATGCTTTAATATTTTAAAAAACATGTCAGTGGCTCATTCAAAAACTGGGAGATATTGTAAATTGTATCTTTTAACTCTTCCGTCTCAAAAGGTTGCCGACCCCTGATATATACGAGAAAGTAACAAGAGATGCATACGTTGTATAACTTAAGAGTGTTGGGTAAGCTAACTCTAAAGAATTTGATGAAAGCGTCCCACTGGCGGGTGTGATATTCAATGTGACCGTTTTTTTTTCCGGGAGACATAGCCTAATAGAAAGCGGAGAACAAAATAAAAGAAACGAAAAGGTGATAGACAGTGCACCCTCAGAAAGACAGTTGATAACACCACTATGCAGGCGCTGATGTAAAATCTACGGCGTGTTGCCTGGACCTATGTTTTTTAGAGAGGCTTAGAAGAACACGGAGGCATCAAGGCATACAAAATCAACTGCTGCAACAAAAACCACCACACAATAAAAGTCATCAAGCACCATCTACAAATTCGCCACGAACACCGGAAGCCTTAATACCACACAGGATATTTTAAAATACATTATCTGCGAACAAGAGACTTATCATATGACTTCGTGCTGGCTTTGAAGCACGTCTAAATTAACTCAAAACGTCATTCACAAATGATTTTCTGTCTCGTTCTCTATGTATAAGAATATTGAATACTGGTAGATCTAAACCCGACACAAATATTGATTGTAAATCTATACTTTTATCTTTTTCAAAAGGGAAATTGTAATCATGTATAATATATTGCAGGTTTTAATATGTCAAATGGTAGGCCTATGAAATTTATTATTTTTAATATATGGATTGGCCACTATTCGTATGGAATGAACTGGGTAAAAGGAAAAAATTAAGGCTCTGAAAAAAAGATTTTTATGTATTAGATATATATCATAAACATGACAAATTTTTTATACAAACCTCTGAAATGAACTTCACTATTTCTTCATATACCGTCTCCCCTACGTCATAATTTCCCAAATAGAAAGCATACATTTTACTTGATGCTATGGCTTCCAAGTCCTTTTTCTTGGCATTGCCAAAGCCAATAGCAATCACATGCACACCAAAGTCCTTTAGCAGATTTGCTTCACATTTTGTTTCTTTTCTCCTACAAGAATCGCCATTCACTATTACAATGGCTAATTTCTTATATTTAGACCTTGCGTTGATGCTAAAAGCATACACTATAGCTTTTTGGAGAACGGTAGTGGTGCTGGTTTTTCTTGGAAAATAGGGGGCTTGGAGAAAAGCCTAAAAAGAAAACAACACTTAAGTTAAACAACTTAAAGATTTTAATTATCACACTATCAAATAAAGCGGGAATAGTCTCCCATAAACGTTCTTGTATATTATTATATAATACCATTCGGGATGGTAAACGGGATATAGACATGATTTTATATAAATTTTTAAATGCTTAAAATTTTCAAAATTAATACCTATAGTTTCGCTGTCTATGTATCTGTGCGTCTATCTGACAAGAACGCTATAAAGAAAACACAAGCAAAATAAAAACTTTCATAGTAAAACGAAAACGAAACATGACTTCACATTGAGCATATAGTAGAAAATAGTACCAAGCCGGAGAGTGCACACAGTAATATGACGTCATTGATTCTCAAGTAAACATTTAATTAAAAAAACAATTTTGTCTAATCTTAAAAGTGGTTTGCTTGCAGAGTTTCGTTCATGCAATTATCCGGTTAGGGGAGAAGCCCCAGCCCACTCCCCCTAAAGAACGTTTAAGCCGCCCCCCCCCCCCACTCAAAAGAAATGACGTCATCGATATTCTATAATAAAAACACAGACATTACGGCCTAATTAATTTGTTTAAAGTGTTTTGCGTGAAGAGTTTCTTTCATGCATCTCATCAGGTAGTGGCGAAGCCCCACTCCCGGTAGATCGTCTATGCCGACCCCCCCCCCCTCAAATAAATGACATCGAGAGTCCATAATAAAAATACTGACTTTACGGACTAAATTATGTGTCTAATGTTATAAGTGTTTTGCGTGAAGAGTTTCACTTCTAGTAGAGGCAAAGTCCCTTTACCCCCCCCCTCCACACACACGGTAGAACGTCTATCCCCCCCCTGCCCCGACGGAAAAACGTCTAATTACCCCCACCCCCCAAAAAAGGGCATAATATGGTTTATAGAGAAAGTATATACTTTTACCAGTGTCGTCTTTCCCAGACCCGTCGAAATTTATTCGCCCAAGCAAAAATTCAAGTGCCCATCGCCCGGGAAAAAGCCTGAAACAAACACTGTCTGCGTGAGTAAAATTTATATCGTTCGAAAGTAGAAAACAGGTCTATATTATAGAAGTGGGCTCTACTTTTAGTTTGTATGAGCTGCAAATGCGACCAGTGTTTCTTTCCGAGTTATTCCTACCCAGAAGAGGAGGGGTTTTTGGAATTTTTGGGGGGTGAGGGTGGACTAAATTTTTGGAATGGGGCGGACACAGGTAAAAATATGTTTTCTATAAAAAGTAGATTTCGTTGAATGGGACAGTAGACGTGATTTATAGTGTGTGTGTGGGAACCTAAATGCAACTTAACCCGTGTTTGAGATTAGGTGCAAGGTTTAGGGATTAGACTTCGACCTTGTTTAGTATCAATGTGCAGTAACTACGTGTGGATCAAGCTTAAATCCGGTTCAAATGCAGATTCTGGATAAAATTCCGTTTTCAATGACATTTTTCGTTTCCGATTAAATTTGAAGTTTAGGTGGTGATTTTCTTTTTGATTTCGAGTTGAAGAAAAAAGACACCACTATCAACCTAACGCCCGTTTTATCTCTCTCTCAACGGGCCATTTATCTCGTCTATAATAATAGTTTCGCTGTCTGTCTATCTATGTATCTATCTGTCAAGAACGCTATAGAGAAAACAAAAGCAGAGTAAAAACATGCATAGTAATTCGAAAAACGAAACGTGACGTCACATGGAGCATATAGTAGGAAATAGTCTCAAGCCGGATAGTGCACACAGTAATATGACGTCATTGATTCTCAAGGAAAATTGAATTAAAAAGCCAATTTCGTCTAGTCTTAAAAGTGGTTTGCGTGAAGAGTTTCTTTCATACAATTCTTCTCGTAGCGGCGAAGCCCATCCTCCGCGTCAGAACTTCTAAGCCGCCCCCCCCCCCCTCCAACTCAAAACAAATATCGTCATCGATACTCTATAATACTATTACCGCCTAATTCATGTGTCTAATCTTCATGCATATCTTCGGGTGAGGGCGAAGCCCATTTAACCCCCTCCCCCTCCGCGATAGAACGTATAATCCATCCCTATAAAAAAAACGAAATATAGTTTATATAGAAAATATATTTTACTTTTACCAGTGTCGGGATCCCCCGCCCAGGATAATTTTATTCGCCGCTGCAAAAACTTAAGTGCCCCACCCCCAGAAAAATATCTGAAAGAAACACTGTCTGCGAGAGTAAGGTTTATGGCCAAAAGTAGGAAACGATGTAACGAGTTTAAATTATAGAATTAGGCTCTACTTTTAGTCTGTATGATCTACAAATACGACCAGTGTTTCTTTCAGACTTTTTCCTCCCCGGAGAGAGGATGGGGGGGGGGCTGTGCCGAGCCCACTTCTCCCAAGTAGAGTTGCCTGAAAGAAACTCTAAATGCGACTTTTGTCATGATTAAGATTAGGAGCATGGTTTAGAGGATGGCTACGACTATATTAAATATATTTAGTATATTTAGAATAAATGCGCGATAATTGCGTGTAGATCAAGCTTAAATGCGATAAAAATGACTATTCTGGATATAAGTCCGTTTTCAATGTCATTTTTCGTTTCCGGTTAAATTGAATTTCGGTTTTGGTTTTAGTTTAGATAAAATAGACAGCACTATCAACCTAGCGCCCGTTGTATCCTTCTTCAACGGGCCATTTTTCTCGTATCCATTTATCTACTGACGGTATTTATAAGTACCACTTTAAATAAGTGCGATAAAAATGACTATTCTGGATATGAGTCCGTTTTCAATGTCATTTTTCGTTTCCGGTTAAATTGAATTAAGGTGGTGATTTTGGTTTTGGTTTTAGTTTAGAGAAAATAGACAGCACTATCAACCTAGCGCCCGTTGTATCCTTCTTCAACGGGTCATTTTTCTCGTATCCATTTATCTACTGACGGTATTTTATAAGTACCATTTTAATTAAGTGCCTGTATTATTTTTAATTTAATAAGAATTTTAAAAATTATTGATGTAATTAATAGTATTATCTCCCCTGAGTCGCCAGTAGTTGGAGGGATCAATGTTTTTTGAAAATTACTGGTGTGGCGCCATTTTCAGTGTCTTGCTATATCGGTAGTTCACAATTGTTCCAGGGGCGGAACTACAGTGCCACCAGAGCCCGCAATGCGGGGGGGGGGGGGGGCACGCCATTTAGGGGCCCACAGCCGACCATAATATTTTTTTTATAGTTAAAAAAAATACTTTTCTAGCACTTTTGACTTGATGGTTGTTTTGCAAAAAGATTACCCTAGCTGCGGTTGAATTATCTTTATACTATACCACCCCAGGCTCATGTATATTCTTTTTCCCTTTGTTTTTAAACCACAGTGAAATCCGATTCCTCTTTCTCCTACAATCAAACTTATCAAAGATAAGCAAACGTTCAAACCACTTCCATGACTTATTTCCCTTTTTTTAAATAGTCAAATAGGGGTGCTTATAACGTCTTTTTAATAGATTTGTACTAAACAAATTAAAAAGGAATTACTTCTCTTAATTATTATTTATCATAAAGTATTGATTAAAGAATGATATTGTACAAAAAGGAAATGAATTTAAAATTAATAATATAAATACAAACAAAAATACACATAATACGAGAAACCATTACTTTTACAAAGCTTTCATGTTTTATATTCTTTATACCGACTAAAGTGAGGGCTTACAGCAGAGTTAAAATAAAACTAAATGTCTCAAAACACAGAAACTAAAGCACTTACACACATGACATGATGGTGTAATTTGTTTTAATTGACAATTTTTTTGTGTCTCAAAACCCAAACAGGCCAGTAATGAGTATCATATGTTCGTATTAATAGATTTGTATATATATATATATATATATATATATATATATATATATATATATATATATATATATATATATATATATATATATATATATATATATATATATGGGGGGGGGTAGGCTAAAATGTTTTTTGCGTGGTGGCCCTTTTTTTCTAGTTCCGCCACTGAATTGTCCTGTACAGTTCTCACACACGTTCGTGAATTCCCTTTGTTTTACCTTATTTTTCAAGTTTTCAACCCCAAATATTTTTTATTGGCACCTTCAACAGTCAGGCAAACGCGTTTAACTTCTATTTATATAATTTTAATCGAATTGTCTTTGTATTAGATCAATGTTTACAAGTGGACTTATAAGTACCGTCAGGGCACACGGTCATTTCTTTAGGATTTTTAGGAACTGGCAGATTTTCGATGTGGAGTGACATACATATTATTTTGATAATCAATTATCGAAATGAACTTAAAAATGATATTTACACATTTATAAGAAGGTTAGCATATGGTTTACCTAAGAAATATTGTAATTACATGTCGATTTTTAGTAGTAAAATAATAACAAGCATAAATGTAGCAGTTGCAGGCTCGTTTACTAGGAGTAGTATACTTCTTATTTTTACCAAAGCCTAGTTCTAGTAGTAAGATTTAATTTGTTAGTTATATTTACTGCGATAAATTGTCTTGCACACAATAACTAGCATTTACGTAATGTATACCTGTAGACTAGCAATAGTCCATACTTCTGCATATAGTATAGATCTATATGGTAAATTTTAATCAGTAATCAGAAAACAGTAGGCCACTACGGCTATCCTAAACACATTGAGCTCGCTTCTATTTATGAACTTTACACTGTAGTATAGACTTGTCATAACATTCTAGTAGGCTACAATTATAGTAGTATTACTAGCAGTAGTGTACTGAATGACTAGGCTTTCATTTTCAAAATATTTGTTTTATGCGGCTCATTGTAATAGCTATTGGAAGCTTCCAGCAAAAGCATGTTCAGTCCGCGACCGTTGCTAAACAAGAAAGACAACAGACAAGAATGAGGGAGCATAATATGTCGGCTACATTTGCTGTGTTTGAGGTCTAAGATGTGTTCCGAAAGAAAATCTAGTAAAAATCGTACTCAAAATATACTATTGTGGGGTATTTATGTATGAAAATTACAAAAAAAAAATTGTTATAAGGATTACCATGTTATTAGTTAATAAATTGTATCGTTTGTTCCTATTTCCTATGACGGTACTTATAAGTACCAATATCTGTTTGGGCTATTAAAAATTTATGAAACAAAATTAACTTCGACATAAACTTTAAATGTGCCAAAAGCAATATGACAACACATTGTTTAAGAAAAAATTTCATTCAGAACCTAATTCCGTAAATAAAGGGATATTATATAATTATGTAATTATTTTTATTCGGATTTTGCACTTTGCTATTTTTACCTTCTCGTATATTCGAAACATAGAGAAAGTCTCGTAATCGTGCAAAAAAAAAGTGATTTTTGCAAATCTCAACGTTTTACAGCTCGGAAAAACATAGTTTTGCAATATTGTCCGGATGTCTGTGTGTGTGTGTGTGAGTGTATGTGTGTCTGTAAACACGATAACTTGAGTACCGTTAGAGATAGTTTGATTGAATTTTATATATAGGTCTAATATCAAAATCGTAGATCCGTATCAACTTTTGAGCGATTTCCGTTGACCGAAAGTAGTAATTTTTGCTATTTCCGATTTCTCAAAAAAAAAAACGCATGGGAATTTATTAAGTTCTAATAATATTCGGCACTATTATACACATTTTATTTTGCGTTCACTTGGTGTGCAATTTTTTTTCTATGTGATTCTATTCTATTTTTAAAAGTTTAAATAATTAAAAATGGATTAAAAATCATGTCTATTTCCCGAGTTGCCATCATTTATTGTTTTATAAAAGAATATTCGATAAAGTTTAGGGGAGATCACTCCCGGTTTATTTAAATTACCTTTTCAATGCTGGTATGTGCTTTTGTGGCCAGGTAAAACAGCATTTCCGAATCGTCAGAATTCACCATTGCACTGAACTCTGCATTAGCCGGACCGATGTTGAAGTATTTTGACAGCCCGACAACAAATTCCATTTCCTTAAGGTAATTCTCTCGGGTGATACTTCTAGAAGAATCGATGACGAAAAGAATATCTGCAGGTGCGTCGTATTTTGGAGCTGAAAATATAAGTAGCCTATTCTTATTATTAATTGATAACATTTACTTAATTACCTTGTATATTATCCATATATATATATATATATATATATATATATATATATATATATATATATATATATATATATATATATATATATATATATATATATATATATAGATATATATATAGATATATAGATATATAGATATATATGTATATATAAAATATAGTGTATATAGGTTATGTGGCATTCGATCCGTCACTCAACTGCATAGCTTATCTTCGTTTTTAAAGCTGGACAATTTGATGTTTTTTACATAATATCACAACTGGGTGCGCGGACCTTTGACCAAAGGTGCTTTGACCATAGGGGGTTTACCACAGGTGGTTCGACCACACAGTGGCTTTAAACATAGGGGCTTTGACCATAGGGGCTTTGACCACAGCGGGGTTTTGACCATAGGGGCTGACCATAGGGGGTTTGACCACAGGTGTTTTCTCACCAGAGTGTCTTTTATCACAGGTCAACGGGTGTTTTATCACAATCGCTGTGTTCGTCTTTGATCACAGGTGTTTTGTCCATATAGGGTTTTTGATCACAATTCTGGCGTTTGATAGACAAGCGCTTTTGTCCATATATGATAAGGATTAATTTTAAAAGTTGTGTAATTATATTTTAAATTGCGGCAGGATGTAATAGTATGTTCATTCATCTGTCATTTAGTTAACCATAAAAGTATTACCTCATTCACTATACTGTTGGCATGTTTTTTTTATCCTTTTTTTACTTTCTCGTATGTACGAAGTATAGAGAAAGTCTTGTAATCGTGCAAAAAAAAAATCGAGATTTTTACAAATCTCGACGTTTTACACCTCACTGATACGGAAAAACATAATTTTGCAATCTTGTCCGTATGTCTGTGTGTCTGTCTGTGTGTCTGTCTGTGTGTCTGTCTGTCCGTGTGTAAACACGATAACTTGAGTACCGTTACAGCTAGGTTGATGATATTTCAGATATAAGTATTTTATCAAAATCGTAGATACGTATCAACTTTTGAGCGATTTCCGATAACCGGAAGTGTTACTTTTTTCACTTTGAATTTTTCAAAAGCCTATAACTTGAGTACTGTTCCAGATAGATAAATGAAATTCCACACGTAAGTAAAAGATCTAATAATTTTTTGTGCTAGGTGCTTTGACCACAGGAACTTTGACCATAGGGGGTTTGACCATAGGGGGTTTGACCATAGAGGGGTTTTGACCACAACGGGGCGAGATGGTGTTGAGTTAAGTTCGGAGTGCTATCTATATGTCGTTAAGGATGAGTGTGAAGTGGTTTTGTTTGGGTTGTTGGGCGGGTGAGATACGAGGTGTACGTGTGGATTGGTATAGGTTGTGGTGTAAAAGGAATGACGTGGGATAAGTGACATGGTGTGGGTCATGTGATTAATGTGAGTTTTATTAGTAGAAGAATGTGATGTTTTGTAATGTGAGGGCGGTTGGTGAGTGGGAAGATAGTTTTGGGGTTTGGTTTGTGGTTTATGGTGTCGTAAGGATGGTGTGCGCTTTATTATCCTCTGGACTTTATTTTTCAGGTATAAGCTCCGTTTATTTCTATTTTTACAATCTACAGCTTTTTGGATACTTTTACCATGTTTGTCACACAAAAGTAATTAGTAAACAGCAAACAAAAGGGTTAAAAACACTAAGGCTTTTTTATTTATACACTAATAGTATTAAATTTGAACGGCTTATAATTCAGTATATATTGAACTTTTGCTACGACATAGCTACTTGTCAGAATTTGACAAAGTCTAAAAAATCGTACCCATTTTAGTGTGCAAAAGTTACAAAATTTACATATTATTTTCCATTAACTTTATATATATATATATATATATATATATATATATATATATATATATATATATATATATATATATATATATATATATACTAGCCGTCCCGACCAGGCCTTGCACTGGCCACAGTGAAAAACCTATCTGTAAAGGACCATAACATTTGTGTTTTGTAATCAGCATATACCCGGCATGGCCCACCCTAACCACAACCAACCAAAACACAAAAAAGCAAACATAACATAAACACAAATACAAACGATAACACAAACGCAAACACAAACCCAATTACAAACCCAAACACAAATGAAAACACAAACCCAACCACAAACTCAAACACAAATACAAACACAAACCCAACGAAAACACAAACGAAATCGAAAAAACAAACGATAACAAACCAAATCAAAACGCAAACCCAACCACTAACACAAACCCAACCTAAACACAAATAAAACATAAACGCAAACATAAACGCAAAGTGCTCACAGTCTATCCCGGGTCGCCAAATCGCACTATGCTGGGCGCCGGCGGAACCACCTGTTCCAGCTTAATAAATGACAATAGTACCCCAACTTATTCATAGTCATTTGCACTCACTTAAACGATCGTAGGCACCAAAGCGAACACGGGAAGGCCCGGGGCCCCAAATAGCAGCTGGTCTGGGCGCCTGAGGACGCCCGGATTCGATTCACTATAGGACGGACGCGCCTGTTACAATTTTATAAACAATTATAATACTCAAAGCTTATCCGCAATCGGAAAGAAGTAAACATATAAGCCATTTAGGTCCTGGCTTATAACTGTTATTGATTTAAAAAAAAATAGTAAACCATACGTTCGGTGAATAGACTAAATAAAAGTCAGTATTAAAAATACCTACAACATCGCACTTGATTAATCACCGCTAATTATGTAATTATTTTTTCCAAAACCAAAACAAAGTAATAAAAAGTAAATTTACCACCCAAATGTTTTTAAAGGGAAGTAATTGTGTTTTCTTAATTTATCCAGGGACGTAATATGTGCTAAAGGACTAAATGTAAATTTTTTTTAGACACAATAAAAAATTTTTTAAAGGATAATACATTTGTGTGTTGTTGTGCCTTACCGATTGTACAGGTAACGACTTTAAGTTGTCGAGAGCCGTCTTCAGAAAGCTCAAGTGTATTTGAATAACTTAATACGTATTCTTTTTTGGATGCCAGTTGGTTAAGTAATGTGTGGTTTCTATTGCCAACTGAGACAACAACCATTTCAGACACCATTAACTTTATCTTGTTTGCTTCATTGATGGCAGCATTTTCATTATCGCTGTAGTCGGAATTGTTTAAAAATACAGCAATTTTCTTTACACCAGGACGTCCTCTGTATGAACTTAAACAGTTTTCTCTGGCTTTTTTCAAACACATAGCAACATCAGCACAGTGTCCAAGATATGCTATGCTTTTTAGCTCCTGAAAATACGAAAAACAAAAATAATTTGCTAGACACACTGTCCTAATTCTCTAACAATTCAGAAAACGCTAATTAATTTTTAATTTTTAACCTAAACCGAAAACTAACCTTTACACCATTGCTAATGTAACGTAATTGTAAATTTACCAACATCAATTCTTGGCTTATTCATCATATATTAATATAATTAGTCTTAATAACTGCACTGCAGTACATGTTTTGGATATAAAATACATTGTTGAAGCAAAATATTTGTATTTAACAAACGTTAAATTCAGCAACTTTTTTTTGTTGGAAAAACTTCAAGCTATTGAATGGAAAAAAAAGTTAGTTAGCGATATAATCAAGATAAAAAGCGTTATTTATCGAGTTATTCGAATAGGAGATGATCAGTTAAAGACTACCGGACAATAACCCCCCCCCCTCGTTCAATTACCCCCCGGACATTTCACCCCCCCCCCCGTATTTACCCCCGGAGCATTTACCCCCTGTCAATTACTCCCTGTCAACTGCCCCCACCCCCGCCCACCCCCAGGGAATTCCCCCCCCCCTTTAATTTAGAATTCTAACTCAAATTCTATACCTTTTTTTTCCCTTAACCCTAACCTTAAGTAGAAGACAAAGCCTAAACATTCACCTAAGCCCAAAACGTAATACAAATCCAAACTAACGCTAGACATTAGTTTAAGACTAAACTTGACAAGAACACTAACCCTAACTTTAGCCCTGACCCTAACCCTGACCACAACAGTACCCTAATCCTTACCCTATATCTAGCCCTAACCCTACCACGAACACGAACACTGACCCCGACCCAAGCCCAAGCCCAAGCCCAAGCCCAAGCCCAAGCCCAAGCCCAAGCCCAAGCCCAAGCCCTGGCCCTAGCCCTAGCCCTAGCCCTAGCCCTAGCCCTAGCCCTAGCCCTAGCCCTAGCCCTAGCCCTAGCCCTAGCCCTAGCCCTAGCCCTAGCCCTAGCCCTAGCCCTAACCCTAACCCTAACCATAACCCTAACAGTACCTAGCTATGTCGGGGGGGGGGGGGGGTAATGTACTACTGGGCAAAGTAATTGACAGGGTGATTAATTGACATGAGGGTAATTACTCTGGGGGTTAATGTGTGTGTGTGTTGGGAGGAGGGGGGAATGCCATGTTCCCTCCTTTGAAAAATTTACGTAGGTTTTTTTTAAACAGTGTGCGTCGAAATAAATTATGCTTCTTTTTGCTCGGGGGCGTAATAATTTGAACACATTTCAATATCGGGTTACGTTCAATTTATATTAATATTAATTATCCCCAATTCATTTTGTCATTATTATTCACTTTAATTGTATTGTATTGTATTGAAGCGTATTCTCCGGAATTTAAGTATACAATCTTAATTAAACTTTTAAAAAATGTTATCTATAATATAAGCGGGCAGGTAGTGTGTCAGTCCTTCTGTCATCGCTATAGATTTTGGAACTATAAAAGTAAAAATCGCACCATGCAGTGCTTTTTAGTCGTGCGGCGTCAAAACGGCCAATGACTAAACGGCCTCGTCAAAACGACCCCGACAAATCGGCCCCGACAAATCGGCCCCGACAAATCGGCCCCGTCAAATTGACCCCTTCAAAAGGGCCAGCGACATATGGACCCCGTCATATAGGCTCCCGACAAATAGGCTCCCGTCATTTAGGCTACCGACAAATAGGCTCCCATTATATAGGCTCCCGACAAAAGGGCTCCAGTCAATAAGGCTCATGACAAAACGGCCCCCGTCATTACGACTCCCGACAAATAGGCTCCCGCCATTTAGTTTCTCCACAAAACGGCCTCCGTCATTACAACTCCCGACAAATAGGCTAGCGCCATTTTGGCTAACGACAAAAAGGCTCCTGTCAATTTGGCTCCAGACAAAAGGACCACTGACAATACCGTTTCTGTAGAGACTAAGTCGCCCGGCAAAGCGGTCTCATTGAATATGACACCTGCCAGTGGGACCCCTTCATCAACATTCTTTAGAGTTAGCTTATCCAACCCTCTTATGTAATACAACGTATGCATCTCTTGTTCGGCAGGCCTTATTTTTATATTAGTTTATCTATTATAAAATATAGTATGTTTAATTTAAGGGTCATCTATCTATGACATCCATAATTGAGTCGGTTATTGGCTGTTCCAACTCAGTGTGTGGGGAGAAGCGTCAACGCTGTACCTTCCTACCTGCAGTATGCTTGTAGGTTATCAAAACAAAATGCTGTTATCATGTAAACATCATGTATATCATACATTTACACTTGTGTGCTCGCTTTTAAGCAACAGATCTTTTCTGTTGTAAATTAAACATTATCAAAACTTTAGAATTAGTGGAATTTAGCTGTTAAGGGCTCGATTTGTTTGTGAATTAATGTTGGTTCATGAAAAACAATTTCATTCGGGCATTTAAAAGAGCTTATAGTGGTATTGGAGGTAGGACAAAATGGTTACTTTTATGCCAATAGTGGTCATGCCATTCATTTGTCTGGAGCCAATATTTTGGGAGTCATTTTGTCAAAAGCCAATATGTCGGGAGCCCAATTGCCGGGAGCCAATATGTCAGGAGCCCATTTGTCGGTAACCAATATGTCATGAGACCATTTGTCGGGAGCCCGTTTGTCTTGAGCCCTTATGTCGGGAGCCAATATATCGGAAGCCGCTTTGTCGGGAGCCAATATGTCCTGAGCCTATTTGTAAGGGGTTAATATGTCGGGAGTCCATTTGTTGGGAGCCTAAATATCGGGAGCCCATTTGTCGGGAGCCTCTATGTCGCAAGTCAATATGACGGGAGCCTATTTGACGGGAGCCAAAAAGTCGGGGCCCTTTTGACGGGGCTATTTTGACTGGGTCGTTTTGTCGGGGGTCGATTTGACGGGGTAAAATTAACGGGGCCGTTTTGACGGGACCGATTTGTCCACGGCCGTTTTGACAGGGCACCCTTTCAGTGCATCGCAGTGTCTTATTGTGAGCTATTGAGTAGGGTTTGTTTATATAATGACATAAAGTTATTTTATGGTTGCCAGTGTTTTTACTCTTTTGCATAACGTAAAGAAAATATTAAATACACGCACATTGCTAAAACATATTAAAAGGATCAATGTCAAATATTATTTTCGTTTAGGTTCTCAGAAAAAGTGGATAGATTTTTATAACATAATAACAGTAGGGTAGAAAAAGCAAATTAATTTAACTTTTCCCCCCTAATTTTGACAAGGGAGGTAATTAAAAAATAAATTCAGCTCACGCTAAATAATTAAATTATTATAATCTACGGAACGGCTAAAGTCAAATTAAATGTATGTGGTTTAACCCTTTATCTACTGACGGTACTTATTAGTACCATTTTAATTAAGCGCTTGTATTATTTTTAATTTAAGACTAATTTTAAAAATTATTGATCTAAATGATAGTATTATCTCCCCAAAGTCACATGTAGGTGGAGGGATCGATTTTTTTTTGAAAATTTCTGGTGTGGCGTCATTTTCAATCTCTACCTGTATCTGTAGTTTACAATCATTCTGTACATATCTCACATGTGTTCCTGATTTCCCTTTGTTTTACCTTATTCTTCAAGTTTTCAACACCGAATATTTTTTATTGGTATCTTCAATAGTCAGGTGAATGTGTTTAACTTCTAGTTATACAATTTTAATCAAATTGTCTTTGTATTCGATCGATGTTTACAAGTGGACTTGTAAGTACCGTCAGGGCACAAGGTCTGTTTTTAGGATTTCTTGGAAATGGCAGATTTTCGATGTGGAGTGACATAAATATTTTTTTGACAATTAATTTTTGAAATATACTTAAATATTATATTTATACATTTATAAGAAGGTTAGCATAGGGTTTACCTCAGAAATATTACAATTACTTGCAGATTTCTAGTAGTAAAAGAATAAAAGTAGAGATGAGGAAGTTGCAAGCTCGTTTACTAGGTTTAGTATACGTTATTTGTATACCAAAGTCTAGTTTTAGAAGTAATATTTGTTTGTTATATTTATTGCAATAAACGGTCTTGTCCACAATAGCTAGTGATTGTACGTAATGTATACATGTAGACTAACTAATAATAGTCCATACATCTGTATGTAATATAGATCGTTTTGTAAATTTTAATCAGTAAACACAAAACAGTAGGCCACTATTCTACATAAATTGAGCTCACTTCTATTTATGAACTTTACACAGTAGTGTAGACTTGTCATAATATTCTAGTAGGCTACAATTATACTAGTATTACACGTGGTTGTGTACTGAATTACTAGGCTTTTGTTTTCAAAATATTTGTTTTATGCGGCTCATTGTAGTAGCTATTGGAAGCTTCCAGCAAAAGCAAGTTCAGTCCGGCAACTGTTGCCACACCAGAAAGACGACAGACAAGAATGTCTCAGGAATGAAAAATGAGGGAGCATGACATGTCGGCACCATTTGCTGTGTTTGTGGTCTAAGATGTGTTCCGATAGAAAATCCAGTAAAAATCGTACTCAAAATATACTTTTGTGCTGTGTTTATGTGTGAAAATTACAAAAAATGATTGTTATAAGGATTGCCATGTTATTAAATAATAAGTTGTAACGTTTTTTCCTGTTTTGTAAATTTTTTAATTTTTGGAAAAAATGTCCTACATTCCTGACTTTACTTATAAGTACCAATATATGTTTTGGGCCTTAAAAATTTATGAAACAAAATTTCCTTCAACATATGCTGTAAGTTTACCAAAAGCAATATGATGACACATTGTTTAAGAAAAGATTTCATACGGAACCTAATTCCGTAAATGTTGTACGTCGGCGGTTTACATTACACCACAAGGAAGGGGAGAAGAGAAATCTGGGCAGACATCAATTAGAGCGTTGCGCCATTTTTTAAAAATGTTATATTGTTTGATATGTAAAATTAAATTTTAGAGAGGTTTATGAGTTTCGGTTTTGTTTGCTATATCAGCATAAAAAACATCATAGATACAGCCTTTTGAATAATACAGTGATGTACGAGTGGTGCTTGCGGGTTGATGTGGCTAGGACAGGGTTCGGCAACCTGCGGCTCGCGAGCTGCATACGGCTCTTTTGACGTCCAGATGCGGCTCTCCAGTTCCTTGCACACATGTTGAAAAATAATTTTAATTTTACTGGACGGTGGGGTACGACTTTACCCTGCGTTCAGGGGGATGGAAGATAAGCCTGGTGAGAACCATGGGATAGAAGCGTACGATGCAAGTTATTCAAACCGATATCCAAGCCAGTTAGTCGGCGTTTGCCGTGTTGAGGCCTGATTGGCTAATGGGAGACACCTCCTCAGCCGGTGATATCCGTAAAGAAAAAATAAAATAAAAATTAACAGCTTCTAAAGTGGAATGAGATAGTCCTAAAATAATAATATTTGATTACTAATTTTACTATTCTGCCAAAACATGTCTATGTTTTTATATCAATAAATATTATTTCATATTTAAAGCTCTTTATTTTAAATAACAAATCAAATTTATTTACCTAATCCTAATCAAATACCAAAATTTGGAACTAAACATTGTAACTCTTTAAAAACTGGGAAATTTTGTAAATTGTAACTTTTGGCTCTTGCGTATCAAAAGTTTGCCGACCCCTGGGCTAGGAGAATGTGTTAGGTGTGTGTCGGTACAGTGTTGAATTTTTTCAGATTGCTGTTTGTGTGTCGTAAGGTCTATTTTATGGTGGTTCGGCGCTGTTATTTTACTGTATTGAATTCTTTTTAATTAAACTATGTCTCTCTTAGAACCATTCCAAAAAAAACATAAAGATTACAATTGCGCCAATTTTTTTACACACTCCTTATAGAAAGATAATTATGCATTCAGCTGCTTATTCATTTTCCTTTATTTGCTTTAAGGAGATATGCAAGTGTAGAACTATGGTATAACAAATCATTAAATCTCTGTTCCCAAGTCGGTACATTTAAAAAAGATTAACCGTGGCGGAGCACGGGTATGCGGCTAGTTTAAATATAGTAAATTTGTTTCAACCTATGATTTGCGTCACACATAGAAGAATAATTATTGTTAAACCTAACCTGTTATGTACTTCTAAGAGTTGTGATATTTATGCTTTTGTAGCAATTGTATTGTAGTATGCATGCGTCATAACGAAACAGTTTGTACACTGCTTACATTTAGAGTTCGACTTCAAGTTCAATTCTTAAAATCCAAAGCGGAACTAGACTTGTCAATTATATATATATATATATATATATATATATATATATATATATATATATATATATACACACTCACAAACAAGCACACGCATCTGCGGTTCAAAATTACCGTTTTCTAACTGGACGGAACCTCTACTGTGAAGCAGACTTCACCTTTTTCAGCGACCTAGACATATGATGGGATTTTGTTGTCAGCGATATATTTAGCCGCTTTTACTTTTGCTAACTTGAGTCAGGTACTAATAAGAGCTGGATGGGATCCAAAGTTGAGACTTTTGGTTTACCATCAGACCACGCCTTCTCACCTATTAACAATACTAATATGTTAATTTTACATTACATACCTGTTCAAACAAAGATTGACTCTTAAAGTTTCTTGAATCCAAACACTTGTGCCTTGCAAGACCAACAACAATCACCACCACAACAACGTCATCTGTGTCATATTCACGTATAATCTCTGCAACAATCTCTATTTGTTCTTTAAAGGCTGAATAAGTGCTTGGAGACTGCATGATTAGCTGGGTGTCAACCTTTGCAAGCATTTTTGGATCTGAAAAATACGCACTATTTTTCTAGTTGAATATATAATACAATTCACATTTATTTTAACCTAGCATCACTAACCTAACATCACGAGCAGCAACTTGATTACATTTAACCAATTTTTTAAAGTAAAATATTATTTGTTTTTGTATCGTCTAGTATTGTCGTTATTTAAAAACAATCATTGAGACTATACAACTTACTGACAGAAAATTCCGGCTCACTCTCCTAAAATAAAATAAAAATCCTTTTTATTGAATATAAACAAAAATTTTAAGTTTTATGCAGTATTGTAACAAGATTTACTAACCGGTAGCGGAATATAAATTGTTCATGTTTACAAAAGCTATTTAGGTAGGGGTAGAAATGAATGAAAATTAGGTATTAATATGTAACATTTTCGAAAACTATAATTATTTTGAAATGATCATAAAAATGTGGATTAGCAGAAAATTATATCTGTGCGGGGCATTTCTTTTATAGAATAAAGTTTACAATAACGTAGTCTTAAATTTTGTAATGGCTACATTAAGTCGATGTAAAAACCTGCAAGGTTTTTCAGAAAACAATTAATCGCTTTAATATAATAAATAAAATATTTAATAATGAAATATGTTAATGAGAAATGTTGCAGAATACCATCTATGGCAGAAGATTCTTTTATGTTAGATACATATTGCTTCCTTAGAACTAGACTATTGTAACTCCAATTTTTTAAAAATTTTCCAATACACAGCTTTAAAGTTTTGTGTTCTCATAATTTTATTTTAAGCGATATGATGTAAAACGTTTCTACGCGTTCACTAAATCAAATGGTCATTAAAATATATTGTCTTCCTTTTAAAATCAATGATAACAAAAATAAGAGGTTTGTAACTTAGAATTTTTTTTATTTAACTCCTAATTATATATATATATATATATATATATATATATATATATATATATATATATATATATATATATATACTACTGATCTAAGTAGTTGGAGACAGGACAAATTATCTCAGGATAAATTATCTCAACGACAAATGATATCACGGACAAAATATCCCAGGACAAAGATATCAGGAAAAATGATCTAAAGGACAAATGATACCATGGACAATTGATTTAAGACAAAATATCTCAGACAAAGAATATTTAGGCGAAATTTAGTCAATTTTAACATTTGCATTTATTGGCGGATCGTATTTGCTTTTTATATACTAAGTGAATGAGTTATACTAATTTTTTTAACATAGCATTTATATTTTTTGTATATATATAACACTTAAATTCTGGAAGCGTTAGTCACATTAATGTTCAAACACACGTCAAATTGTTTTCAAAAATGTGATTGGGTATTCAGGTTCGTTACGCAAAATTTTTATTTTTATTGCATCATCAACACAAAGGTAACGTTAACGTTTATTTGCTGGCTGTATCCTGTGTAGTTCTGACATCTTAAAAGTACAGATACACCTATGCTATGAGTAATCAACACTAATTATGCTTAGTTTGCATGAACACTAAGATTAACTTTGCTCAGCAATGACCACTTTCGTTTAAATAAACATTTGTGACATGATCACCAAAGTGTGATTGAAATATTACTACTGATTTTGAATGATAGATGTATTGTCCACGTAGAGCGAACATTTACCTCACAGCATGTCTCCGCCGAAAATGCGAGAGGCCACCTTGCTGCATAGGTGTGTTTCCATAAACTTTCTTTCCATAGACAAGCTAACCCTTTGATCTAGATTCGTAAACCTAATGTGGTATGATTGTCTCATATATAGAAATGTAGGTTTTATGTACGCTTCTTATATTTCTAATTGCAATATTAATATGTTTAATGTAATGTTAAAAGTAATACGACAAACATTTTCTCACAATTATTTTGTGGGCGAAATGTTTTCAAAAACATATTTGAAAATTTGATTTTTTTTTCTTTTTTTCGCCTCAGACATGTAATTTACAGCGTCAGTTTGCCTTGCATGTTCGCTTTAGTATTAAAGTTTTCATTATCAGCTTGAGAGGAATAATACAGATTTACAATAGTAATATTTCTTTCTTTCTTGTAGCCTACTTTCATTCATTTAAGATGGTTTACTTATACATAGATCTAATACAAAACGTCTAACTATAAAAAAGGTAAACAAAAAAAAAAACCTGCAAATGCAAATGTGTAATTAAATGATGATTCAAGTTTTTTTTTCTATCGGCGTGGAGGGTTGAGGGGGTGGGGGGAAGAGGTGGGATTTTGGGTTTTTAAGTAGAGCTGAAATAAATTTGGGATTACAGAGAATAAAAATGATACAAATTTTAAACAACCGGAAGAGTTATGTTATTACAATGAGACACATCAAACATTCTTCCCTTTTAAACATCTATATCTATAGCAGTCCTCCGACAGTATTTTTTATCTATTTGTTTTTAATTGATTCAATTGAAAATTTGAATGATTAATTAATTAGAGATTAGCTGTTATGAAGAGTATTTAAATATTAAAATATTTGCCTTCTGATTACTGACAAATTAATAACAATTGCAGAAGCTCCATTTAAAGTATAACTCAAAAATTATATTATATTAATCTTTAAAGAGAATTTCTATTATTGATTGATTGTCGAGATCATTTTTTACCCCCTCTTCATGGACTTAGTGGAAGATCGGCATTTGCCACTTATTCTGTCCTGATATATTTTGTCCTGGTATCTTTTGTCCGTGAGATTATTGTCCTGAGATCATTTGTCCTGAGATCATTTGTGCTGAGATCATTAGTCCGCGAGATATTTTGTCTGAGATATTTTGTCTGAGATCATTTGTCATGAAACTGACGAGATCATTTTTACCCCCTCTTCGTGGACTTAGTGGAAGATCGGAATTCGCCACTTATTCTGTTGGCCCGAGGCGTGCACTTGCCAAGTTTGAAGCGCCCGAGGCGCCAGGAATTACCACTTTCTTTTATATAAATTGATAGCCTACTTATCATCATCTTTTCTTGTTTGTGCCCTAGACACTTGGAGCCTCAATAGAAAGTTTCCTACGCTTTTTTTATTCAACAGCAATTTTATTGGCAGTCCCCCCATGACAGTCCTGCCTATGCCAGATGCTTCCCTGCTGTGTGCCTCCACGTCTCATTTGTCCTTTCCTGCTTTCTTTTTTCTTGAGGCGGCCAGTTTAGCGCCATTCCTGCGATGTTTTCTGGATTCATTTTTAGGACGTGCCCCATCCATCGCCATCTTCTTTTTTCAATTAATTTGGAAACTCCTTCAGTTTCCATCTCTCCAAGTAATTTATCATTTGAGATCAAATTATGTTAGGCCAGTGTATGCCATTTATCCCTCACAAGCACTTAGTGTGGAAAGAATCCAGTGATCTGCTGGTAACGGTTGTTAATATCCAGCATTCGCTGCCATAAAGTAGGACGCTAAGGACATTACTTTTAAAAAATGTGCATTAGGTCTTGGGGGACATTTTCTTCGTTCGATTGCCATGTTATTTGCTTGGTTGCAATGGGTTGTTTGGCTTGAGAGATGCGTGTTTTAGTTTCAAAGAAGCACCGTTAACACATTTTCTTGATCCTAATATTTAGCCTACTTATCACATCCTATTCCTCCATAACGCTGTTCGTTAAACTAATGTGATAAGTATCAGTGTCAAAACATACCGAAAACCGCTAGTTACTTACTTTCACTCTCCTGGTGAGCAATAACCGAATATGAAACAATTAAACTATCCATGTCTTTCCCTATTTCCATCTCCCAAACCCTTATTCTTTTCCTATTAGAGGGGCAGGGATAATTTATATGAGAATAAGAAGGTTAAAGTAATGACAAGGGTATCCTACTTTGATTTTATAACATGTACAATAAATAATTAAAAGAAAGAACCGAATGTTATAATGAAATATCAACTTCTCATACAAACAACTAAATATCATCATTTTAATTAATGTTTTCTTGAGTGTATTCAGATTATGCTGACGTAAAACAAAAACTTTTTATTTGGTAGTAGGAATTCCACCACAATCGCTATAAGCTACAACATAGTAGCATAAAAATATTCGCTTAATTGCATCTTTATTTGTGCACGAAAGAAATACGTACAAGAAAATCATTTTACATACAGTTTACATCTGTTTAAACTACCATTTTCAAAACCTTTGAATTCAAAAATTTTCTTTTTGTTGCGTTTTTGTACTAGGATGATTTCATATCTTATGCCGATTTTTCTATAACTATTCTACATCACAATGCACCAAGATAGTAAGCGCTATAACAAATCAAATAAAGAAGTGAACAGATAAATAAAGTATATTTTGTGGATGATATTATCTGTGTCACTGTTTGTGGTGTGTAGTTGGGGTTATAAAGATTGCACATAATATTTGTCTATGAAAATGTTACACAGTATTACACAGGGTAAGAATTGAAACAAGATTTATGTTGTTTTATTAGTATCATATTTGTTTTATTTATAAATTAAAATGACAACAAATGTTTTTCTGCCCTCTCCTTAGCTATTTACAAATCTTTCTAGTACGAATCCATTGAAAAAATGTTATAGCTTAAAAAAGAATACTTAAAATTAAATAAAAACATTAACCGGCAAACACTTACCGGTCACAGTGTAAAGTTTATTAAGTGACTAGATTAAATGCTAAATTTAAAGCTAATATTCTTAAATGTATTATTCTGGATTTTAGCTTAAATATACTTTAACTATTAACAAAGGTGTATGTTTGGTATGAATAATTTATACACATTTGTATGGCTTACTTATTTAATCTTCTAATAAAATATCAAAATAATATTGTATACTTTAGAAAAATTACGGTTGGTAATAATAATTCTGTTAATAATATGCAGAATGTTAAGTTTGATGAAAATATACAATTTGATTTTGACCTAGTATCAGTAGCGTACGCAGGGGGGGGGGGGGAGCAGGGGGAGCTCCCGCTCCCCCTCTGGCCATTTTCAGCATAGTGGCGCCTTTTTGGACACTTTTTAAACTCAAGGTTTTAAACAATGATATTTGTTAAAAAAAATATTTTTGGTCGGCACATCTATGTAAATCACAAGATTTCTTTTCATGCAGCAATTAAGCATTATTGTACTAGTCTAGTAGTGTCTACGTTTACAACACGTATTAACAGCTGCATCAGTTTGCCATTCTAAAAATAACCATTACGATGCATTGCAATGTTTAAAAAACCTCTACGGGTAGTACCACTTGGCAAGAGGGGTGTTAAGTTTAAGGCAACTGTATAATGTGTTTGCTTACGAATAATTGAATTAGAAAATGTTATACATAAAACTTCACACATAATTACTTTATATATACAGTTTGAATCGTGTGATTAATTTTAAAAAAATTACAATACAGAAACAAATACAACTGATGTGGCACCTCTATTTAAATTTACTTATGAGCAAACTGC